CCCCCCCCCCCCCCCCAGTTCTTTACTGTAGATGTATCGTTGTACCAAAATTGGACTCCCTCTTTTAGGACCCTGGCTAAAAGCCTCCCTCAAATTTTTACTTTGATCTATTATTGAAACTTCAAGGGGAGGTGCAGATGACGTTTCAGGAGAGGTGCAAAAATTCTCAGGGGAGGTGCAAAACTATTTCAGGGGAGGTGCTCACCTCAAAATCCGGCTATGGAAACCGGATTTACAATGCACAGAATTATGCCAATGTGAAAATATGGAAACCATGTGATATTGATACATGAGACAAAAGGAATGGAATGTTGTGCTTAAATGAGCAGCTCTTCATGGGGAGGATCCTCGACACAAAGAGCAGCTATAAAGGAGATAATGCTCCCTAAAATATTTTGAAAATCAAGTGCCCCAGATTGGCTAAAAATGCATTTGCCACGCAACATTTTTTACATAACTCTCTAATCTATACATTTATATACTATGATCACACTATCAATGAAAATTGATGCATTTCTTAGCTCATTCCTACAGAACAGGTAAGTAAAACAAATGCGCTGATTGGTCGAGCACGAAATCTGCCCTTGTTAACCGAAAAACATAATGCCATTTACATGTTTACTTGCACAAACTGCCCCAACAAGTACATTGGACAAACGTCTAAGAAAATTCAGACCAGATTAACCGAACATCAAAACGCCATTAACAGACATGACCATAATTCACTCCCAGCCATGTATGCACGCAGACGATAACGGACACAAATTTGACTGGTCTCAAACGAGATGCCTAGGACAAGCTACTACAAAACATGCCCGTGAGTTTAAAGAAGCGTGGCATAGTATAGATAAATTAACATTTAACCGCCGTATTGACATTCCTGTAATATACTTACAACTAAAACACTCACACAAAAGTCCTGTTTCGCATTCATTAACTTTAACCCACTCGCAACTTCCTTCTCAATATCAACTCACGATGATTGCAATCACCCGCACTCCATGGCAACCAATAACAATCGATCAGCCGAAATCCGTGATCAACCAATCAGACGTTCCCAAAGGCTTCAAGAACGAGAACAGCGCGAAAATTCAAACATTCCAACTTTCTGATGAAGGCTCGAAGTACTGAGTCGAAAGCTCAAAACATTTAAATTACAATGCAGAGAACAAAATAATTTGTAGAATTATTCAATTAATAAAATGCCTGATCATGGATTACAAATCTTCAACTCTATTAAACATATATATATATATATATATATATATATATATATATATATATATATATATATATATATATATATATATATATATATATATATATATATATATATATATATATATATATATATATATATATATATATATAAATCAATCAATGATACATCAGAGCTCATATAACAACTTTTTATTACGTTTCGTGGCAAGCACCTTCTTCAGATTACATGTGTACACTTGATTTCAACTATTTAAACTGTCCATACCCTAATTATAATAATTCGCTTGATTAACTCTATTGTTCAAACAAAGTCTTTTAAATTCAACCCATGCGGTTCAAACGAATTCAGTTTATAAGCCCAAAAACCTTCTCTTTGTGTGGGACATGCAACATTAGTTTTATCAATAATTTTAACTTTCACATCTTGCATACCATTATGACCTTGATAAAAAAAATGAGCATACAAATGCTATATATATATATATATATATATATATATATATATATGTATGCTCAAGCTGTTGCAAAGCTTTATAATGGGAGCACAAGTTTCAAGCTTAGTAGTTGAATATTACAACTACTTGTGAATGAATTGTTCTTGTATAAGGAGATATTTACCATGTCTCTAAGAAATGGGCCCCTTATACGATTTTTAAACTGAGTAAATAATGTTCCCATTATGCTTTGCACGCTTAAAATTTAATGTTTAAGGTGTAGAGTTTAAGGTTTGCAAAGGAAAAAGAAATTCTAAATTTCTCCCGAGTGTAAAATAGAGATTGAAATTCTTTTATCTTTAGTTAATTAAAGATGATGTAAAGTCCGTTTTGCGCATATATTCTGTGCATCAACACCATAGAAATAATAGATATAGAATGCGTACTTGATCACGAATCATGTCTCCACTTTTTCTCATGCGTGCCCTTATAAATCCGCCATGTTTGAATTTGACTAGGAGTGCGAACTACAAAGTATAAACAAAGCTAAAACTACGTTTTCATCGTCAAAACGTTTGTGTTGTTGTCTAATTTGTAGTTTGAGGATAGATTTTGAGTTCTTTGAAGCCACAAACTGTCAAAGCAAATGTGCAGTTATAAAAACGGTGAATATCGTGCAGCCTTGTAAACAAAGTAGTTTCGCCGGTTTCGCGTAAACTGATATAAAACATTTTTGCATGCTCTGAACGTCACTGTTTTGCTAATTTCTTATAAGATTACAAAATGATAGTTCTTTCTTCGTCGGGTTTTGTTTTTCTTCGATCTAAACGAAGTTTTTTATGTTTTTGAAACAAAAATATTTAGTTTTCGATAAACTGTAAATTGCCTAAATAATCGTCGAAAAAAATGGTTTCAAAAGCTTTGCCTCAAGCTCAAGCAACGTAGAAAAATATGAAAAGCAATTGTGTAAGTTTAAAAAGATTACTGAACTTCATTTAAATTATAAAAGAGTTGAAATATTTATAGAACATACCTATTGAGTTTGAGTTTGCCTTCATCTTTCGGGTTTTGTTTTGGCTTGCACAACAACGTTGAAAATTTATTTTTAAACGACGATTGCTGTATATATTCTGTCCAGACCTGTTGCTTTTCGTAAAAAAAGCCCACTAGAATGGGTTTTTAGACATCTTTTTCACTTTATAAAACATTTTTTCCATTTTTAGTCTCGACACAATTTTTTTCCAAACTTTGCAGTTGAAAAAACAATTCGCACTCCCTGCAACCGCGCAAAATTCCCCGCTTCAGGAGTCTGGGACCAACCAAAATGCCCTTATAAATCCGCCATTTTGTGGAGACAAATTTTTCACTGAGAAAAGATAGGAGTACGCATTCTATATCTATTATTTCTATGATCAACACATTCCATCAGTGGGGGAGCAACCTTTGGAATGTTGTTAATATTTCGCACCTTCCGAACTTTCTTGAATTGAATCTCTAGTCTGCATTCATTTACAAGCATAGCGAACCGGAAGAGTGTTAAAAATTCAGTATAATATATGCTAATCATATTTTCAACTGTAGCACTGAGTTCAAAATGTAAACAAAGCGTTTGTTTACATTACGGATTTTACATCACCTTTAATAAAACCACCGCGAGCACAGGCTTTTATAAACGCATTTCATCCGGCAATTTCTTCTTTCAGATTGTACGATTAACCTCTAAAACGGCATGGTATTTGCATCATTATAAATGAATAAACCAAGTTTTATGTAATAATACAGATTAGCCGCTCAAAATCCGGTATTCGTATATTAATTTAATGAAATGTTGCCTCATCTTGTTCTCGGTGGAGGTAACGCTATTGTCTCAGGTGGTTGTCGTCTTCTTGAGGTTGATCGACACATCATTCGCAGAAACAGATTTTTGAAAGCCGCTCTTTACGTTTGGTCCAAACAGGCATAAATTATTGGATTGCATAGACTGTTAACATGAGGAAGTAGGAATATTATCAATTCAGCTACGTCCACATTATACGACTCGTTATCCAGATTTATAAAATTTGGATTGTAGAAGAGCAGCAGTACATAAATAAAGTAAGGACCCCAACAAAGTACAAACACTCCCACGACGACCACTAACATTCGGAGAGCCTTCAGATCTTGAAGAAAGGCACTTCGTTGGTTTCTATCATAGCAGGTCTGTCCCAGTTCGCCATTTCTCAGCATTTTTTGTCGTTTATGAACAACAACAAAAATGAGAGTGTACATAACCAGTATGACTAGGGTGGGTAGAAAAAACGCACTTACTGATACAAAAGTATAGAATCTTTTTTCATCATTTTCGTCAACAGGGCAATAAACCCCGCTTGTCTCCAATATTCCCCTGCTTCCTGAATGAGGAGTGGCGGCGTAGGTGGCAAAGACAGTTGAAATCAACCAAATGATAAAGATAATTTTCATTGATTTAGAAGTTGTCATTCTGACTCTATACTGAAGTGGTTTCCTGATTTTAATAAATCGCTCAAAACTGATGAATGTCAGTGTGTAGATAGATGCTGCTAACGCAAAGGTATCTATCCACACCATAAAACGACATAGGTGAATATAGGTGGTATCCTTCAATTCCAAATCGGGATTAAGATGATACGCCTTCAATGGTTCTAAAATCATACCAACCAAAAGATCAGCGATAGCCAGACAAACAACAAAATATTTATTTGGTTGATGAAGACTTTCTTCTCTCCAGGTCGCAACCAAAACGAAAGTGTTGCCCAGAAATGTAAATATGGCTAAAATAATTAATATATTTTGTTCTGCAAATTGAAACTCGTCACTGTCCGTCCATGTACTCGTCTCGTTTTGATTTGTAATATTATACATCACTAGCATTGTTTCACAACATCACTGCAAAACCTGATCCTAAGAAATAGATAAGAATACCACACTAGTCAGACAAATTATAACATGGTCAGGGTGCTGTATGTACTTTTCAATTCTTCCTGCATGTATTGACTTCATAGTCAGACTTTTAAGTTATCCGGCAATGTGTTATATAGTTATTTATATAATATGTCCGGATACATTTGCGACATATCAAAATACTACAAAATAAACAGAACCATGGTGAATATACACATACAAATCGATTCCGTTGCTAAAGTAACTTACGTGTTTATTTGATCAATTTGTATAGGTAATAGTATTATCGCTATACAAGTGCAATTTGGAAAAGAATACACAAGTTAGTTTTTAAAAGACGATCAAAGTGGAGGAGTCTGAAGGAGGAGTGCAATTTGAAATCTTCCAGAAACTCACGTATACGAGTGTTAACTTTGTTTTTTTTTAAATTGGACGAGAAACCATACTATTACTTACTAATGATATACATGAAAAATTATGCAGAAGCAAATTCATGCTCACTTGCATGCATGAAACACATGCGAAATAAATAGTTTACTCACTTATTTGAATAACTCAAAATTTTAATCCAAGTTTATATATAGGTGCGAGAAGTCAAAGCGCTTCCAAAGTATTTCTTTATTAGGACTCTAAGGCCACTCTCCCTTAACCTTCCTCCTTTCCTCTTCACAACGAGTACTATGCTAGTACAGGTATAGTATGGTTTCTCGTCAGTTTTTCAAAGACTTCAAATCCTTAATGCAATTTTGATCGTCTTTGAAAAACTCTGTCGTGCATGTTTTTCCAAATTCCACTCGAAAACATACTATTTTGAAGTGTTGTCGTGGAAATTCGCATTATAGTTCACTATGTTCGTAACTTACTACGTTTTGGCTAAATCAATAACCTGTCTATATATAATTACAATCTCTCCTCTAATTAGACCCTCCCCCTCAAACGTTTCAGAAGCCATGCATACAATTCTAATCCGCAGTTGAATCGTTGATGTACTGTCCGCGAGAAGGGATTGTCACCCCTGGTTCAACTTCAACCCCGTACTGCGGCTGGTCACGTGCCTCATCAATAATTTAGCGCCCGAGGGGGTGTGGGGAAAGTATCAAATTACATCAACATGCTTCCAGTGGGATATTCGTTAAAAACACAAATTTTGCAAATTATTACGTTCAAAATACTTGCTAATTTTTGTTTATTTTCTTTGCTTTGAATTTACAAGAACATTCTTACATTCTTACTTACAGTCAAGTCAAGAAACCAAGCAAATAGTTACTCGCAGTGCTCTCTCGTGTTGTTATTCAATGCATGCTCTCTTCACACTCGAGCGCGGTTATAACAAACGTTCATTCAAATGTTTTTAAAATACGCCATCACATTCGTCCTCTCTTGTAAACGTTGATACGCTTTGCACCGATTCACTTGTTACTACGCGTCTTCTGTATAAGATTTTTAAAAGAAACAGTATTGTCTAGGACTGGCGGCACTGGCACAATATTAGCAAATAATAGCCGAATACAGAAATGTCCTTAAGCATAGAGGAAATTTCAGTCATTGATTTATCTGGATTTAGTACATAATTCGTATTCGGTAATTATAGTAAGACTTTAGCCTTTTTCTTGGTCTCTATTGATCATTATATTGTGTTAACATTCTATATCACAAATTTACAGTGTCAGATGCGCACAGACCGTCATTCGCGTCATACGAATAGACATAAATTTTCGAGTTTTCTACTTCTACTAACATTTTTAAAGTTTTCATTGTGAATCACCTGTTTATCTCTAATTCATTAATCATTTGCTACTTATATTTATTTGATAGTGTCATATAGAGAATAATGCGTTTACACACAAGCAATCCCAGACATGATATAGGCTATAGACGATGCAAGCTGTCCATTAAAAAATAACGATATTCTATTTCACAAAGCAAAAATTCAAATCTCACTTGTATTATTAAGAATGCATATAAAGCAAAAAATTAAAGCTTATTCATGTCAAAACGAAAGCTGTTTACAAAATTTATAAAGGTGGTGAACACTAATAAACAGTGCTCATTGAAAGACATGTATAATATATAGTGACATATAATTTGTCGTTTGACTTATATCTTTGGTGTATCACCGTGTATGATTTTAATACCGTGGATTTTTCAACAGACAGCTATAGCCTACTTTGACATATACCATGATCGTTGGTTTCACGTTTCAGCAATGCCAAGGGCCACTACAATTTATAGTCTTTTGACGGGCTTTAAGTTGTTTTTTTTATAAGGCCTTCAGATAAGGATCAACAATCTGGATACAGTTGGCGATATTTCGCGGAAATCAATAGATCTCGCTATTTCGTTGCAATTCCACATCTCATCAATAAATAAATTATTTTGGTCCGAGTATCAGGATAGACATTAATACTAAATAAATAACAACCACACTGTCTAGAGATATATATTTTCATGTAGGTTTAATATTGCCACGCTGTACAAAGGCAAAGCGTGCTTTCTTTGGCAAGTCTATAAGTTGAATATTGAAATCTGATCCAACTTGCTTGAATTGTAACTCGACACCAGATGATAGAGTAGAACGTCACGATATAAATATTTAAGAGTTCTCTTTACGATTTCTTGTTGCAAATTTACAGTAAATTTCATGACCCAAAGTTGCAATTTTAAAACAATACAAACACGCTCCTTTCCCACACCTCTCACGGTTACAATCAAATTTACCTCCCAGAATCTGGGAGGCACGTGACCAGCTCTCGGCCCAGATGACAGAAGCAGAGACCCTGGGAACGAGGTTGGTTCAACTTTAGGTTTCTGTCACAGGGGCGCTATGCCATTTTGGCAGGACGGTATGGGGTAAATATAATCTCTAATGCATCCAGTATGTCTTAGCTGGCTCTATACCCCCGCAAGATGATAACATAAGGTTAATGAGTCTTTGGGCTGACCAGAGTTTAAGGGTATAATGTAACATAACATATAACTAGAAATACATGCATGCAGCAACCCCTCGTCTATATTTTCCAAACATTGCTTCAACATGAAGTATTCGTAATTACGCCAACACTCAACGCAGGCTCGCGTTGCCACGTCATGTTAGTCATGGCTGCAGAACATGATAATTGGTTTTTTAATTTTTTGTATAAATAGGGAAAAATAGATGAAATTTGAACACTTTTAAATACAGAACTACCAATTTCTAAAATATATAAAGTAGGTATAATATTTTGGTTTCTATGGAATTTATCAGTTAATGTAAAATTCAAAACGAAACTCTACGTAAAACGATTTTAAATGTGAATTGAAATCAACTGCTTTTTGCCGATGTTTATAAACTCTTCAACTTGAGTTTCAACTTATTACTCGCACTTTGAAATAATTTCGGAGGTTAGTCCTAGATATTAGTTGCATTTCGGATGTTAGTCCTTTACAACATTCGCATATACAACATTGCCAGACTAATAGCTGGCTTTATGCATTGAAGGACTAACCTCCGAAATGCAACTGACATCATAACTTAACAAGTCGTTCTCAGCTTGACCTTGTAGCTCAGACGGTAGAGCGTCGTTCTAGAAATGCGAAGGTCGCGGGTTTGAATCCCAGCCGCGGTCAAGTAGAATTTTCTGCTTACGCTACTTTCTGCTACGAGTATATATATATATATATATATATATATATATATATATATATATATATATATATATATATATATATATATATATATATATATATATATATATATATATAGATGACAAATGCCAGTACTCTGCTCAGCCGACAAGACTTCATATGTAAAAAACAGAACGGCTGCGTTTGAAGAAGTTTATTACAAAAAAAGGTATATTAGATACAAAAACTAAATTTTCGGCTGCACGCCACAGCCTTCTTGCAACTCTGAGTAGCAACATGTGCAATTTTTAATATTAAATAAATAAAAGAAATTCTCGACATACCATTTAATAATTTTTACATATATCAATCACCGATTCGAACCGGTTACAAGCCCATTAAAATACTTAAGCTGTTGAATTGAATTGATTTAATGATTACTGACTTTGTAACCCCCAAAGGTTAAATTACACCAGTATTACATAAATTCTATAGCGTTATAGAAACACGGGATTTTTCGCTTTTCAACCAATCATCAGCGCAGGCGTTATTAAAAGGTTATTTTTATATAACAATCTTTAATATACGGATAGGGATAAAGCGCTGAAACTGAATCGCGGAAACGGAAACTGAAAGCGGAAACTGAAATGGGGATAAAACGCTGAAATGGGGATAAAACGCTGAAATGGGGATAAAACGCTGAAATGGGGATAAAACGCTGAAATGGGGATAAAACGCTGAAATGGAGATAAAACGCTGAAATGGGGATAAAACGCTGAAATGGATATAAAACGCTGAAATGGGGATAAAACTCTGAAATGGGGATAAAACGCTGAAATGGGGATAAAACGCTAAAATTAATTGGGATAAAACGCTGAAATGGAGATACATACATACTTTATTGTGTTCCCTAAAATAGGGATTTTCAACACTGATTTACAAAAAATAAATGTTGTTCTATTTACAAGTTTTAGAATCTAGAATTGAAATTAAGGTAAAAAGGTAAGACATTTGTATAAAGTTTAACAAGGTAAAATTATCTACTTATATATTTGTTCTAGCATGCTTCGCTTCAGTTCGTTTTTGAAAGTTTTTAGGGAGTCTAACTTTTTGTACTTTATGTCCAAATCATTCCAGAGTGTAACGCCTCTATAATGAAAGGACCTTTGACCTGCAGAAGTTTTGTACAATGGTATTTGCAGTGAGTCATGGCTACGTGTATCTCGTTGATGAATGTCAGAACGTTTTGTGAATAAATCGCTCAAATAATGTGGAGCAAGTTCATTGACACATTTGTACATCATAATAGCCTCTCTTAGTAGTAATTGTTCCTTTACTGGGAGCCAGTTAAGTTCGCGTAAGCCCGGCGAAATATGGTCGAACTTTCCAATATTTGTTATTATCCTGCATGCAAAATTTTGTACCAACTGTAGTTTCTTAATGTTGGTAGACGAAGTGTTTGACCAAACCGTTGAACAATAGAACATTTTGTTCATTACAAGTGCCGAGACGATGAGAGTTAAAGCTTCTTTATCGAAACATTTTTTGACTCGGTTTATTTGGCACAGGGAATTCATACATGAGGAAACCAGGTTGGTGATGTGCTGGTCATATGTCAAATAAGAGTCGATTGTCATTCCTAGATCTTTGGCAAAGGAGACGGGGGTAATAGTCTCGTTGAGGAAGTTTATGGTCATATCTACGGGAAGTTGTTGTAAGTTTTGCCGTGTGCCAATCAGCATGTATTTGGTCTTTCCCGGGTTAATAAGCAATTCATTTTCGGAACAACTGTTTGCAATCAAATACAAGTCTTCCTCAAGTTGTTGCTTTAAACAGTCCACGTTAGCCACAGTGAAAGATAGTAATATTTTGGAGTCGTCCACGTACGATTCAAGTTTACTATGGTGGACTGATGAGGGCAAATCGTTAGTATAAATACTAAAACGTAAAGGTGATAAAATTGCACCCTGTGGTACACCATAAGAAACAGGGAGAGGAGTAGACACAGTTGATCCAATTCTGACTGATTGAGTTCTTCCGGTCAAGTAACTCTCAAACCATTTTACAACGCTTGGAGAAGCCCCGACGTTGCTAAGTTTTGTAAGGAGAAAAGTATGATTTACACTGTCGAAAGCTTTAGATAGATCTATTAGAATCAGTGCAGTAACCAATTTCCCATCCATGGCCTTTAGGATAGTATCTCCGGTCAAAAGATTCAATGTTTCGCATGAGTGATGTTTCTTGTTCTACACACTGGGGACATTATTATTATTATTATTTTTTATTATTACAATAATAGTGTTTCTGGGAAGAGGTGTCCGGCACGATAGAGTATACCGAACTGTTAACTCGCATTATAAACCATGCGCGCAACAATAAAAGGCCTTTGATAGTCACCCTACTCGATTTAAAGAACGCGTTTGGGGAAGTTGATCATCAACTCCTTACAACTGTACTAGAACACCACCATGTTCCGACCGCCGTACTAGAGCTTATCCAAAACCTGTATGATAATTACACCATCTCAGTAGCCACAGAAAGCTTCATTACAAACCCAATCTTAGTTGGTAAAGGAGTTCTTCAGGGTGACTGCCTTTCTCCTCTTTTATTTAATATGTGCGTTAATACCCTCATCAAATGTATAGAAGATGAGCGTATACTCATATTGTGAATACCTACGCCCCAGACACTGGTACGGTTCCAGTTCGCAGACGATACTGCACTAGTTACAACATCCGAAGAAGATAACCAAGCTCTCCTCGACATATTCACTAAATGGTGCCATTGGGCAGACTTCCAAGTTAGAGTTAATAAATACTGCATGTACATTTGGAATCAAGCACAACGGGAAAAAAGCTACGCAATTTAAGCCTTATCTCAAAGTAAATAATCAGATGATTCCTTAGGTTGAGATAAACGAATCATTTCAATATCTAGGAAAGCAATTCAATTATAAAATGGACACGGTCGTAATCGAACAGGAACTAGAATATGATCTTTTGGAATATTTAGAGAAAATTAACAGCTCCCTTTGCACCCTAGAAATAAAATTCTGATTATCACGAAGTACGTTTACAGTAAACTGCGATGGCGTTTATCAATCCACAGGCTTTCACAAACCGGCTTTCACAAACCTGGATGGAATAGCACTTAGATGACAAGATTATCTCTTATGTCAAGCGTTGGCTACACTTCCATAAAGGTGCAAACCTGACGCATCTGAAGTTAGCTAGCAGCAAATTTTGTATCGGTTTCCAACTGGCTTCTGATGTTTACAGATTCTGTAAGCTGTCTATTAGAAAAATTCTTTCTAAGTCCATCAACAATGATATCAGCAACCTCGTTCCCAGGCTCTTACCTTCGCACGCCCCAAGCTGCGGATATCAGATGCCTGTTCAATCTTACCAAGTTCAATAATGTGCAAACTGATTGCTTGATTTATAATAACGACAACCCACCGTGGTGGAACACCTCTCGTCCCTTAAGGAACAGAATACGATCATGAAACACGTTAGACAGGTAGCATCACCTAAGCACATAACGATGTGGGACAACATCTGCCGCCAAATGCCAAAGAATATATTCCTGTTTGTGAGACGAGCTTTGATATATTCCCTGCCGAATAATTCAAATCTGGGTCGATAGTGGAAAAGAGGTAACCCATCTTGTGAATTGTGCTACTCAAACAAACAAACAAACAAACTCAACTCCACATGCTCTCTGCCTGTCCGGTTCTGCAGATGAATGTCGATACACTTGGCGACATGATTCAATTCTTCACACTTTGCTTCACTATATATCTCAACTAAGGAAATACGGATTTCGAATCTATGCTGATCTAGACAATTTCGACAATCCTAACGAACTCTTCCATTCATTCCGCCCAGACATTGTATTAATAAAAGATGACAGAATCTTCATTTTGGAATTGACGTGCTGCTTTGAAACAAACTCTGAAAAGAGCAGAAACCTAAAGATCAACAAATATAGGGACATTCAAAAGGATTGCAAGAAAAGGTTTCCACACTGGAGAAAGATTTTCGTTGAATTTACGACACTTGGACTAGTAACTAAACATATAGATGATTTATACAGTGTTTTTAAAAACACAAACGTTAACACAAACATTGTGCGTTTTTTGAGAAAAGCATGAAATTTCTAACATAGTTAGTGCATACCAAAGGTTTATTTTCAGATGTGGAGGGAAGTCGGGTTTGACCTTGGGGAACCGTGTAAGGTCAATCCAAGATGGCCGCCATTCCACGTGACCTAATGTTCAAACACGCTACATTTTGGAGCCAAACAGTGCAGAAAAACATCATAGGTGTCTTTTATGGCACAATTATGGATGCACGTCCAATTGGTAATACGTTTAAGATCGCAAGAATTAAATGACATGTAGTTTATTAAAGGTCAAGGTCAAATTCAAGGTCAAAATTGACCAAAAATACTGACTGGCATCTAATGATTGGGATGTCATATTAAAGTTACCTTATCGTCGATTTCAGTTCACTTTTCAAGACGCGGTTGCGAAGTTCGTTCCCAAGTTCCCAATTACGTTTCGAAGTTCGGAAGTTGGGCGGGAACTTCGAAACGAACTTCCGAACTTCGTAATGAACTTCCGAACTTCGATTTGAACTTCCAAACTTGATCGCGTCTAACATAGTAGGGATACATGAGACCGGAACGAAGTCAAACCAGGATCATTTCGTTTCGGTCATAGTATTATCTATAATAGATGTTTACATGAGACCGGGACGAAAATAACTGAGACCGGTCTCAAGTCATTCCGCCTGCTGAACCGAACCGACTGACTTCAGACTGGCATGAATTCAGACCGGGATGAATGTAAACACAAATACATTTCAGACGGCGGTCTCGGCTGTAACCTTGACATTGGAACGACACATGCTAACAAAAGACATCTGAAAAAGAAAATTGCCTGGCAAGGGGAATAAATTGAAAATTTTGTGAGTATCGGTCTCATGTAAACATGTTGACAATTTCAATTTTCATTCCGGTTTGACTTCGTCCCGGTCTCATGTAAACGGGACCTAAGACGACAGCCAAAACAAACTTCTTCAAATAAATTAATTATTGCGAAGAAGAGTTGTTGTGTATTATCCACTGCATGTATATATGAATTGAGTTGAGTTTGAAGAGATTAAAACAAAGACTTTATGGTTAAAAACGCTACTGCTGAGCAATTTTGTAGTTTCACTTGTCGCGTCTTGACATGTTTGCGTTGTACACAAGACGTCTCTAACTCCCGTGGGGCTTTTAATTATTCATTTCTTTTGTACGAGATCAGGAATATAATTGCATGAATAGCCGTCCTAAAACGCTTCGAACTTCCGAAGTTCAATCGACACACATGGTCTGTGACATATGTAATGGCGTGCGAAGAACTGACGAATTTCTTAGGGAAGATCGAACAAAATATTGGTAAAGAAAGCTATGAGATAATAAGAAACACATTACGAGATAATAACTTTACATCTCGGCTATCATTAAAGCTGCTAGATCCGGAAAATTTAGACGTTATATTTGCCAAAAGTAAACTGCCTCTGGGATCTCGAAAAATTCTTGAATATCACTTGGATTTGCTACGCAATGAATCGCCGTTATCAAGACCTAAACCACAGCGAACCGACCCCGCAGCTATTGAAGAAAGTTCAGCTGATCAAGCTGACTCAAAGCCAAAGGTAAGACACTGTTTCACGCAAAATTCATGTAAATATAAATCGCAATTTTGCAAATGTGCAACTTGTTGAGTGAGCAAAATATTATAAACTATTAATTATTATAATAAATTTATTTGACAATTGTGTATTTTTTCCAGGATAAAAATGAGAATACCATGCGGTGCTTAGAAAAACGTCGTCAGAAGATAGAAAAACAGATTTTCGATAAAGAAAGTGAATTGAGAGAATTGCAAGTACATTTGGAATCAATGGATATCAATGTCCCGTCATTACCAACTATCGGAAACTCTGGAAGGATTACGTGCAGTAAATGCCACCACAAGGGGCATAGAAATCAAGTAAATAACCCATGCAACTTACAGAAATGCTCATCGTACACGTATTGTGGCATCAAGGCAAAGCACCCGGAGTATTTCACAGAAATTAACAAGTTGAAAAACGACATAAAGAAAAAGAATAACAACATCCGAGATCTACAACAACAATTAGCGGGCTTGAAAACTTTGCCAGTCAAAGCGAACATCAGTTTATTAAAGCGCTGACACCGCGGTTGATAAAGGTGGACCCCCAGTATAAAATGAACAAACCAAAGCTTCTACGAGACATCAGAATTCTTCGAACATTTTACGGTGGAAAGATTCCACCGGAAGCGACAAATGACTCAGAGCAACTCCGTATCACACTTGCCAAATGTAAATCAACATTGGCAAATGACATCGGAGATGTGGCCGTACATGGTATTCAAGAATATGAACAGTCTATAGATGACAACAATGACAATACACACAATCAAAATGCATTCCCTCTTAACGTAAACATGAACTTGTCGCCAGTCAAAGTCAATGACAATGGCAAAAATGATGAGAAAATCAACCCCGAAAATACATGTTATTTTGAAGCCGATGGCGATGAAAAAACCAACATAAAAATTTCCCATACCAAGACGAATGACAGACATAAAACTAAATCAAGAAAGCATTATCGGCAGAGAAAGAAGCGTATAAAACACGCAGAACAAATTTCCAGCTTGTCGAGTGAGTCGGAAAGTCCTTCAGAAGATGATTCAAGTTCTTGTAGTGATGATCAAGGGCGTGGTAAGAAATCTATAAAGCACACCCGAAAAAAGTATTTGAAATTGAAAGAAAAATTTCAGCATTACCGTGATCAGTTTAAGCAAGCTGATGGTCCAATGGCAATGGCAAGGGATATGTCAGTCTCTCAAATGTATAATTTAGAACGTCCTAGTAATTTTAGTAACCCAGAATTTTTGTGGTATGGAAATAATTATCAGCGTTTTCCTAGTTTCGTACCAACTGCTTATTACCCACCTGCAACACGAATTAATCCTGTTGCCTTTAACCCAAACCCATATTTTTATGGAAGCCAAATCTGCCAAAAGCCATTGGTTTATAATTATATGCAGATACCACTGAGGCAGACACCTTTTGGGAATAGTGGCGAGACAGTTACCACTACCAGTATAAATAATTCTTCGACTTCATCGACTTGGCATGAATCGAATCAACCGCCGCAAAATGAATTAAAGGATAGTGATTTTCAAGGCCTCGAGTTGTTGTCCTCGGCCGTTGGCATGGAGTCAATGAACACTAAAAAGTAATGTACGTTTATGCTCGTTAGGAAAGTTTTGTGTACATACGATGAATACAAGGAATGCTCAAGGTAGATTATTTTTGTTGCTTGTGTAATACTAGTGCATGACCTGTTAAAATAAGAACAGACTAAAGAATTTATCGTTGTGTTGACGTTTTACATATACTCTGATTTACTGTATAAATACTGTATAATTACTGTGTAATAATATAAAATGTGTAGCACTTGCATGTTACATTAATATTAAAAATATTGCAAAATTATGTGCACTTGTTTATATATGATCAATGCAGAGTATATCGACACATTGTCATTGACAACTTTGAAGCTTTATCACTTATACAGTATCCCAAAATATAGTGAATGCATTTATATACAAATGTTTCATAAATAGCCACAAAATTTAAAGAACTGCCGTGAATGTCCAGCTGCTGTCATCTGTAAGGCATCACTAATGCATAGTTCAGTATACTTCTCGGTATATGTAGTATATCTGCGCCGTACGGTTTTCATGAAATGAAAACATTGTTCGCATGTATTGAAACAAGGATGGTAGAGTGGCTGATATATCAAATGCGCACGTCTCTCATCGTGTAGCATATATCTCGCAAATTTGGTTCAACATCGTTGCCGTGATGAAAACCACAGTTATCCATTACGATTACATCATTGATTTTAACAACTGGGTTTTCAAATGCGTCTACTTGCTCAAGAGCTTCTTCAAAAAATTGTAACAGTTCTAGGCCGTTCGACGGACCCCTCAGAAAATTAAAGTGTGATATTCCATTAACGCTGTGGAGCAAATTTACCGTATAAGTAGCATTTGAGGCATAGCGTTGAACTTCGAATGCAGGTTTGCCAACTGCACTATGCCCTCGAACCCATTTCCACTTGTCACAACAACGGACGACTCATCAAAGAAATGCAGACGATTGAAGTCAATTGCTGATACTTCTGCTATGTAATTCTGTAACTTTTCCATCACGCCATCCCTTTCTGTTTCAAGAGGTATATACACTAAGTTTTTTGTATAAATATCCGAGATCACTTTTTAAAATTCCACTTATACATGAATTGCTTGGAACATTTTCTGGGAGGCACACGTTCTCTTTTTTTAGCTGTTGTCGAATCTCTTTTGCGTATGTTGAAGGTTTATTAATCTTCGTGTATTCAGTGTACCTGATAACATCATCAGTTCGAGCAGTTCTAATACCAACACGTTGTGGAGATCGAGGTTTAGTTGAACCAGTGGTTATCCATGGCCACAGATCTACAATATTAGATACACTTTTGTATGGTAAAACTAATTGCCGAGATATCTCGGCAATTCCTTCGTTATTCAACAACTTCTCTATAATTTCCTGCCTGACTTTGTCAGGCAAAGCTTTCCCTTGTGTCGTATACGAATTCGACATGATAGGGACCTTAAGCAAACGGGACGGCGAAGCGTTTTAGGACGGCTATTCGTGCAATGATGTTCCTGATCTCGTACAAAAGAAATGAATAATTAAAAGCCGCACGGGAGTTAGAGACGTCTTGTTTACAACGCAAACATGTCAAGACGCGACAAGTGAAACTACAAATTTGCTCAGCAGTAGCGTTTCTAACCATAAAGCCTTTGTTTTAATCTCTTCAAACTCAACTCAATTCATATATACATGCAGTGGATAATACACAACAACTCTTCTTCGTAATAATTTATATTATTTGAAGAAGTTTGTTTTGGCTGTCGTCTTAAGGTCCCTACTATGTTAGGCGCGATCAAGTTTGGAAGTTCAAATCGAAGTTCGGAAGTTCATTTCGAAGTTCGGAAGTTCGTTTCGAAGTTCCCGCCCAACTTCCGAACTTCGAAACGTAATTGGGAACTTGGGAACGAACTTCGCAACCGCGTCTTGAAAAGTGAACTAAAATCGACGATAAGACCTACTCAGTTGTGTGTGAGAAGGCAAAAATCTATGTCTATATGTGCTTCAGGTAGCAACTATTTGCCACGTTTACTGTAATACTACCACTTGCAAGTGATGAACCAGGTGGGAATCGTAATCGTGGTATAAACTTTAATGCCCAGCATAACGTACGCAAAAAAGCCATATATATATATATATATATATATATATATATATATATATATATATATATATATATATATATATATATATATAATATATA